CTTGAGTTTGGTCAGAAGGTCTCAGAGCTTCTGGTTGACACCTGGAGGTTCAAAGTGGATCTGAGAAGTCGTCCATCAGTTTGTCCATTTCTACGCTGCTCTTGTATCAAACACATGAACGGTTTGATTGATTGATTGATTGATTGATTGATTGATTGATTGTCAGAGTTTATGATGAACTGATCAACAGGAAACAAACCAAACAGTCATCATCATCGTCTTAGCGTTTTTTAATACAAGACTTTCTACTTTTTCAGCTTCTTAAATGTAAAAATCCGGCGTTTCTTCGTCCTAGACGGATAAAAAGAAACGTAATATTTTTACTGATGCTTCTGACGTTGAGTGAAATCCATCCTGAGGCTTCGGCTGCTGATTCAAAGACACCAAACGGTTTCTCGTAAAGTTCAAACAGTTGAAGCACGTCGACGGCAGCACGACCAGCTGGAGGCTGTCCTGTTGGTTTCAGGTAGAAATGTGAACATCGAAGTGAGAATATCTTCAGACTAAACTGTGGTGAATGTGAATCACGTTTATGTTCAGACTGAAGCAGCACATCGATGAAACCAGGCTGATGCAGCAGCGCTGGGCTCAAGCCTCAGAGTGTCCACGACCTGTTTGCTCATTTTCTGTCCGTAGCTGTTGTTGTGTTGCTGCGTATGAAAAGGTTTTTTGTAGGAAGTTTTTTTTTCATAAAAAATCTTAAATTTCAAGTTGTTTCCTGGATTAAAGGTACACCGGGGGCAGATTTACTACCCCTGGAGGATATTAGAGGACGGAAATGCCCCCAAACTGCTCCAACAACAACAGATTCATGTTTTGTTCTGTTTGTTTTGCTCAGAGCTTCAATCAGCTTCTGTCCTCATCAGAACACCAAACATTCAATCACTGCTGCTGTTTAAGCCTTTAAATGGCCGTTTGATCACATGACGCCACAGCTCTTATGAAGAAACAAACAAACATAAAATGACTTGTTTTCTATGAAATAAATGTCAGAGGGCTGAAAAAACGACCATCTGAAACTTCAGATGAACCCTCAGACTTTAATTAGTGCTGCAGAGCTCGTTAACGGCTGCACTTCTATATATTATATATATATTACATTATATTGTATTATATTATATTATCGTATATTATCATATATTATATTATGTTATATTATCATATATTATCATATATTCTACCTCCCGGTGCTTCCTGCTTCTCTCCTGACTTTTCTATGTGTACATAAATATTTAACAATAATGAACAACAATGATGAGGCTGATTTATTAAATGTTCACGTGTCTGATTTGGAATTTAAAGAAAATGATCCAATATTTAATTAAATAACAGCTCATTTACATATTTGCAGATGAAGAAAATTCCCTGGACTGCTCATGGAGACGAGCTGCGGTAGCTTCATGCTAAAATCTGCTGATAATAACTTACTAATGTTTTACTGTCGTTACTCCCTTAACTCGTCACTTGAACGCCTCTCTCTGTGCTGCGTTCACGGTCCCTCGGTTCAGGTCAGACGGTCTGAGGCGCAGAGCGTAACAAGGTGAGGCTGCACCTTTCACGGAGGCGCCGTGAACGAACCAATCATCATGCTCATGAACCGAAGGATCAGGCTGACGTCACGTCGCACAGCGCATGTGTAGCTCTGCCGCCGCCGTTAGACTGACGGTGTTGGGTTTGTGCACCGGCGTGTCCAGCTTCTACCGGCACCGGAGACGGAACGCTACCGGATGATGTCGGATTGTTCTGTTTTACGGGCCGCTGGAGTCCGTAAAGCGGCGGTTTGTAGCCTCTGAGCCGCGGTGCATTGTGGGAGAGAGCCGGAAACACGGAGCTGCAGCGACACCTGCGGAGCGGAGGGAAACTGCAGCTCCGCAGACGAGTGAACACACACACACACACACACACACACACACACACAATAAAACACACGTCTGGCACGTGTTTGTTATCTTATTTGATTTATTATTATTTGTTTTATTTTATTTTTTCTCTCTATAGTTGTTTTACTTTAGGTTTTATTCTCCTGCTCATTCCCGGGGCGACACTCGGAACCAAAGTCCTTGTGTGGTACTGGGCCATTAAAGCTGGTTCTGACTCTGAAATACACAAAATACAATAAATAACTCTGATAAAACACAGAAATGGAACTTAGTGCGATCAGAATACACAGCTGAATGATTGTTTATTGGTTTAATTGGATTAAATGGATTCAGCTTCGTTATTGCAGAATACCAGCACACAGTGTCAGCATCCAACCAGCGGTACCACAGTCTGGATCAGAACCTGCATGACAAACACACAGAGGATGTGAACTGTGGACACCAACACAGAGACAGAGGAAGGAATAAATCACAGTATGAACAAACCACATGATCATATTTATCTTTAGGCAGAGCTTCACACCAGCAGCAGAATGAAACAGACGAGTCATAAAACCACCAGCAGATTAAACCAAAATGTTTTTATTCTGCAGATTTATTTTAATCCATTTTATCTTTTTCTATCTGTTTTGATCTTTCATCTACATTTCTTTGCTTTTAGCCTTCTGTTATTGTTTATTATATGATTAAATAGACTTTATTCGATCGATCTCTTTTAAAAATTAACTTTTATCTTATTTTTATCGATTTTACATGTAATAAATATTAATATTTAGGTTCCTTGTTTTATTTTTATGTTTTTAAACCAGATTTTACGTCCTCAGCGTCACTTTGAGTCATTTGTTTAATAAAATCACTTGTTGTTTGATATTTTCAGACGTTTTTCAAACTAAATAGTCCACGAAATAAGAAGTACTTCGGGTCTTTCAGAAGTATCGCGATACTTCGTCACGGTGCCTGTTCGCCCAACCGGCAGCGAGATTCGCATCCAAACAAAGATGGCGGCTCCCTGATCGTCCATGTGGCTCCAGCGTCTGATAAACAGCTTCTCAACGTCAAAGTCTGTCGTTAAATTCAGTCGGAACAAACTGCGGGATCTTCGGTGAAGCTGCGAGAAGCTCCGAGAGGTTTTCAAGATGCAGCACGACGACGTGAGTGTCGCAAATCCACCGGAAGCCGCTGACGTGCAATGCTAAGGCTGCGTGCTAACGTTAGCTGGCCGGTGTCTGAGTTAAAAAGACGGATTGTGGTTGTTTGACACCCGATACCTCCGTGTTTTAGTGACCGAGCTGCGTGGTTCTGGTTATAAATGATGCCTCCATAGAAGTTAAAACAGGAAGGGAGATACTTGATGCTAAGCTAAGCTAACTGGAGCCTGTGTTCTGTTACAGTCCATTGAAAGTTAAAGTTTCAGGCTTTTCTACAAACACTCGGAACCATCAGAGCTCAGAGGCCTGTGGATCGGTCCAGGCCGCCATGGTCCACCTCCAGCTAGCATTTAGCTCCTTCATGTGTTCAGTTCAACTCAGTGAATGTTCTGATGGATTCTGTGTGACCTACTGGTTCATAACTGGAGGGTCTGGCTCATGAAACCTGTAGGTCCGGAGTGTTTGAGCAGGTGTGCTGAGGTGAATAAGTCCAGGTATGACGGTGAATCTGATTGGCTGAACTGTCTCCTGCAGGTGATCTGGGACGTGATCGGAAACAGACAGTTCTGCTCCTTCAAAGTCAAGTGAGTGTCCGACCCAAGCCGCTCGTCGGGTTTCACTCTGAGACTCTGTGAAGCGGTTTGGTCCAGTTTCTACGGCATCCACACGGTTCTTTCACAAAGCTGCAGTGACGTCTTCAGACGCGTTGACAGAGGATCTGGTCACTCCAAACGGTCTCACAAAGCAAAATAAATCTCCAGAATGATTCAGAATGTGTCCAGACCAGCTCAGAACCGGCCCAAAAGGACTCGAATGAGGCTAGAAGTTCTACTGAATCCAAATCTGTCTAAAGTGGTTAAAATGTGTTTAAAACGACTCAAAACTTTTCCAGAATTCCCTAAAAATGGTCCAAATGGACTCAAGTTGGCATTTTGACATATAAATATCTAAACCAGAACCTTGTCTGGTCCACCTTCACCACATCAGGTTCTACTGATGTTAGATGTTAGAACGTTTCCTCCATCCAGTCATCAGATCTGCTGGAAGCCGTTCTCACCACAGCTCATGGCTGTAAAAGGCTTTAACTCTCTGATCCGACTCGGTTCTGGCGGACAAACTGAACCAGAGACACGTTTTTAGAACCTTTGACTGAATCCTTTCTGAGCCGATGAGACGCTGTGGACTGATTCCACCGATCAGCTGTAGATCTATTAAATGGACCTGGTGTTGGTTTTTGTTCCAGGACCAAGAGTCAGAACTTCTGTCGGAACGAGTACAACATCACCGGGCTGTGCAACCGCTCGTCCTGCCCGCTGGCCAACAGCCAGTACGCCACCATCAGGGAGGAGAAAGGTAACGCCTCGTCCGACCCGTCGGCCCCGAGCCTCCAACGGGTCCGACCCGATGAGTAACGTGTGTTCTGTGCTGCAGGTCAGTGTTTCCTCTACATGAAGGTGATCGAGAGGGCGGCGTTTCCTGCCAGGATGTGGGAGAAGGTGAGCTCGCCTCTCACTTCATTCTTGGTGTTTTTTAGAACTTATGTTCTGGTCCCGTCTCAGTGGTTCTTGTTTCAGCTCCTCTAGCGCTGACGTTAGTGGCGCTGGTGAGGATCAAAGCTCCACATGATGAACTTCAGACGTTTAGGTTCCGTCACCGCCTGCACTTCAGCCCAAACTCTGACTGTTGGTTTCAGAACTTTTGTTCTCTTTACTTCTAAAAATAAATATTTTTCTGTTACTCTATGAATTTTTGATCATTTAGAAATACTGGTAGGACCTTTGTTCGTGTTAGTTTTCTGTTTTTTCAAACATTCTGGGGCGTTTAATTCATATTTTGAGACATTTTTCAGTTTTATTCCTGTTTATATGTTGAAGGTTTGTATGGAGGAAGAACTTTTTATTCCTAGAACACACTGAGAACATTTTGTGCCTCCAGAAACACCCAAATCTGTAAACAAATGAAATGAAATGAAAATGAAATGAAAAATACTTTATTCATCCCAGAAGTGAAATTCAATCCTGTAAAAGCTCACCTTTCTTTCTTTTTTTTTCTTTTTTTTTAAATCAATATAACATATATTATATACAACAATAATAATCATTCAGTCAGTTAAACAAAGCAGGAAAACAAACCGTCAACGAAATGAAACGAGTGTTTTTTGGAGCTGGACTGAAGCAAAGTTCACGTGTCTGTGGTGGAAGCTGATGTGAGTTCGTATGTTTCCAGTCAGACAGTTTATACAGACACACGTCAGACTTCCTGATACGAGCCGGTCCGCTGCTGACGTTCAACGTCTATCTGTCAGAACCGTTCACCTGATTCTGCCTGAAGCTTCACACTGCTGGTGTCAGCGTGCTGCTACCTGGTGTCTGTTTGTCTCAGGATAATAGAGACTGAACAGAAACCCAACTGGACCTGGTTTATGTCTCAAATAAAACACTGTGGAGCTCGTCCTCACTCCGTTGTTTAATCATTTAGTTTAAAATCTGATGTATTTCCTGCAGCTGATCCGTCACATGTTCAAGCAAACAGAACGCTTCACCTTTAAGAGTGTTCAGTGTCAAATCTGAACGTCTGAACCTGTTCAAAGCAGAACCTCAGACTTTCTGAAATAATCAGCAGATCAAAGTCGGCTGCTGCTCTGAAGACGTTCATGAAGCTCTGAGACGTGTGAACCTTCGTTTTAGTGGCAAAAAGCCGCCCCCCGACGTTTTAGTGTTTGATTTGGATCCTCTGATCCTGATTGGTTCGCTGTTTCTGGTTAAATCATCGTCCAGACTTGAGGTCTCCTCCGTTTTGTGGTTCCAGGTGAAGCTGAGCAGGAACTATGAGAGAGCTCTGGAGCAGATCGACGAGAACCTCATCTACTGGCCTCGCTTCCTCCGACACAAGTGCAAGCAGAGGTTCACCAAGATCACCCAGTACCTGATCCGCATGCGCAAGCTGGTGCTCAAGAGACAGTGAGTACTGCAACATGTACTGCGTTACTGCAGAATGTACTGCGTTACTG